TGGCGGTAAGAGATTTGCGGACAATGAAGAAGTAATCGAAGCTGTAAATGGTTATTTTGAGGAGCTTGACGAATCAGTCTATAGAGATGGCATTAATAGACTGGAACACCGCTATGAGAAATGTATCAGCCTTGGAGGAGATTATGTTGAGAAATAAAAAAAAAAAATTTTTAAAAACCTTGTTTTTCTTGGTCAGGCCGGAAACTTATCAATCCACCCTCGTATATATGTAGATACATATAGGGTTCATATACACACATATACATATATCAATTTCGGAAAAGTCTTTTGTTCTGAAACTTGCGCTTGCATTTTATGACCGTTTACGTGAGTGTGTCTGTACGTGAGGGAAGCTCACGATTCTCTATGCAAATTTCGTCATAAAAGTTATCTTCTAATGTTTTAAAAGACAAGTTTTACGGCGATGCAAAGCCCCAACTTAAAAGACCCGCCAAACCTGCACCGTACATTATATTTCTTTATGAGGCTAACTTGTTCGCGGATCGAACCTTTATGTATGCAGCCGTAGCACAATCCTAAGAATAAAACTTGCAGTTTAGTTGTAGAAACGGATACCTTAGGAATTTTCGATTAAAACTTGAAACATAACCGACCGAAAAGATAGTTCACATTTAGTATGGGGTCAGCCCATTCTTCTGGACTATTTCTTTTTTTTTGGGTGGGTATAGAAACCTCAAAGATATAGTAGATTGACTTTTAAAGTTCCTTGATATCTTTACATCCTTTTACAGAAACCGTACAGCAGAAGAACTATTGAACATTTGATAAGTGGCTGAAGGTCGTCAGGACCGGATTAAAGTATAAATGAAATTATGTATTTCAGGCAGATATTGAAATTAAAATTTTAACAAATAAAATAAAAAAAGGGGAAGAAATATTAAAATAATGAATTCAGCTTTACAGTCAACAGTTTTCATGGTACTTAATATTTTTAATGAAAATTCCTATTTTTTTTTGTTACCTAATAAGAAGAATAAATATTTATTTTGTTTAAGAAATGGTACACTTAATTATTACTTGAAATTTGTAGATATTATTAGTCATATCGGGTAACTGCCCTAATGGATAAACCAATTTTGAATGTATTCGTTGGTAATTACGTTAGATAGCATTTGCAATAATAAGTATGTAAATTTATTTTCACTCTTAAGAAGGGGTAAAGGTAATTCCAATGGTAAATATTGTTTGTCAAACAATAATAAATATTTATTTTTCTTATTAGGTACCGAAAGTATTTTGTTTGGTCTGTAAATAAATATTTAGTAAAAGATGATTTTGAAAACCATGAAAAACTATTAAGCTAATTAATTAAAAGTCTGTAGTTTCACGTTGATAATGCCCACGTTTGAAGTGGGCGAAACACGTGTCCTTGAAAAAGTTTTTGTGATAATTAGGGGTGAGTCTTCCTTTTAATTAATTATTATTTTACCACAGTCTCCTTTTTCTACTTCGAACTAAAGCTAAATTCATTATTTCGTAACATAATTCTTCAAATATCGAAAGGGAGTGTATAGTGGTACAAGATTTTAGAGAAAATTTAAGAGAGGGGTTTGGCTATTTAATTGCATATCTTGTTGTTTAACTCTTTTAATCCCTTGATGTACTAACAGACATAACCCATACCGTTTGTTATTTACATGAACTTATGACCTGCTTGAGTGATATTATTTGTTTAAGTTGAATCTGCTCATATTTTTTATATAACTCAATGTACACTTTTGTTCTTAAAAACGTCTTTTTAATTTTCTTCCCTTTTGTTTAATGTAGACTCTACGGGCATACCACAAGTTGATTTATAAAATCCTGATACCATTTTGTATACTCTATATTACTGCAAAACAGGGTATCAAATGTAAATTTTAATTAACTAAACCACTAATTAAATACCGTTGCCTATTAATAATGTGCAAGGTATCCCATTGCAACCAATTTTGGGGTAACGTAACACCCAACAAACTGAACGTGCTGTTAAGTTTCTGTTACAGAGTAATTATTAAATGACATCATTGACATCTGATCCTGGATTGTCTATTGTTGAAGTTCTTTGGTTCTGTGCAAATGGATACTTCCTTTGCGATCGCATAATTTTCACCATGTGTGGTTCATTCAAGTACCTATAGGTCAGGAAATGCATGAATCTATGCATTTTTGAAAATACTTCGTATGGAAAAGGAATATTTAAAAATGCTAAGTTATGTCTACCCTTAAAGATCTATTTGTTTAATGAAAGCTGCAATTTCTTGCAATATAAAGATAGGAGACGAAAAATTAGAAGAAGTGGCTGATTTTAGATATTCAGGAAGTCAGATAAGTCAGGACGGAAGGAGTAGTAGGGGTATAAAGCAGAGGATAGCGCAGGGTCGTGTCGCCTTTAATAAAAAGAAGTCACTTCTATGCTCGCGAACGGTTAATTTAGAAATATTAAAAAGGTTGTTAAAGGTGTATGTTTGGAGCGCCGCGTTGTACGGCTGCGAAACATGGACAGTGGGCGCTGCGGAAAAGAATAGGTTAGAAGCCTTCGAAATGTGGTGTTATAGGCGAATGATGAGGATAACGTGGGTAGAAAAGGTTAGAAATAAAGAGGTATTAAAAAGAATAGGAGGACAGATGGAAGTAATTAAGAAATAGGCGAGATAGGTTGGTAGGACACCATCTCAGGCATGAAGGTCTAGTCAGGAACATATTAGAGGCAGAAGCAGGAGTTAGGAGGGGTAGAGGTAGACCTAGGTTAGATTACTGTTCGCAAATAGTTAAGGATGTGGGTTGTTCTAGTTTTAGGGAAATGCAAAATTAACTCAGGATAGGAAACCTCCACCCTTTCCTATACGTGTCCAACCAATCTTAAGACTGACGACCTTATGATGATGATGAGAGACGTTTATAAATTGTATTTAAAGATGAACTTTTCCCCAACTTAGCCTAAAATATCAGTAATAAATAATATTGTGTTTTTATGTTTCTCGTAAATATTCAAGTGATTTTCTGTTTAGGTCGTCCGCTACCGAAAGTAACTTGGTGGCAGGAAAATGCCTTACTGGACGATTCATTCGAATATCTACCCGACAGGAAAGTAAGGAATGTTTTGACCATAGAAAAGTTAGCTAGACATCATCTACATGCTGTCTTTGTTTGCCAAGCTTCAAACAATAATTGGAGACCTCTTACAAGCCGAATTACATTGGATTTAAATTGTAAGTAAATTGATTTATTAAGAAAAGTATTTGTAGTAACCATACTAATTGGACACTTCCCCTAGTTTATTATATTACAATAATAACTTAATCTGGGAATCAATTTAAACCCAATTAACGCAGCCCCGATTACCTGGACCGATCAGGTACCAATTCGACCTTCCCGTTTTCGTGACATTTTCAGTGATTATTTATCGGATGACAGTTTTCGACTCATTTCAAGCAAGAGCGATGTGAAATATGAACGGCCTCCAAAAATTAGGTTTATTTGAAATTTGAAGTCAAATAATGTGATAGTGAAGAACTATCTCTTTTCTAATTCAAATATACAGGGTGTTTAAGGAGCAATGACAAATATTTTGGAAAATGGGATTAATACTGATCATTCTGAGTAAAAAACCCAATATCAAATAAATTTTTATTTAGAAACGCAATATTTCAGGGGTGCAGGGTTAAACAGCTAGCCTAACCCTTTCTAAAGAATTTACAGAGTCTTTTACTGAGGTACATATATCTCAAAATATGTTACCAATTTCTCAAAAACTATATTAGGGTGGGTTTATGTTGGATATGGGTGTTGCGAGCAGAGCGGCGAGCAACGCAAAAAGGATTTATGTCGGAGCAACAAGATCAAAGAAAATTTTTTCATATTTAAATATTCAAATATTTGTTTAAAATTTGATTTAAGTATCCAAATTGTCCGATATTTGAATATTTAAATAATTCGAACACAACCGTGAGTCCTAGTTCTACAAATGTCAACGTAAACCATTCAATTCTTGATTGAATTTGGAATCGTAAGTCACTCAAAGAATAAACATTTAAAATTTGCGTTAAAATTTTATCTGACAGTATTTTGTCTTCAGAATCCATCATTAACTCTACGCATTCAACTTTATCTTTAAAAATGTACTGCCCTCTATTATAAATACAACGTAAGCAAAGAATTATCATTGCTTTCATCGTCGCCTAGTTCGCATCTCAAAAAAAAAAAAAACTTTTGGGTGTTTCATTCCCACCAGTCAGTAATGCTGGTGGGCGGGCAGTCCCTCCGGACTATGCCGGAAGGTAGGGCGGCAGGCCCTCTTCAGCCTGCTTTCAGGAATCGTGGGAATGGGTGGGTGGTGGTTCGGGTGAGAAAGATGAGACGGACGAAATGAAGACAGAAGAGAGTGAAAGATTATCTGTGGAATATTACTGCCTCAGCATTTGCCTAAGTGATCCAAGGAAACCACAGAAAAACTTGGACTAAGGCAGACGGACCCGGAATCGAACCGGCGTCCTCCCGAATGCTAAGCAATGGTCTAGACCTCTAGGCCATGCCGCTCGGTGGCATCTCAAATATAAACGTACGCTTATAGCAATACGCCCCAAATGTACCTCTTCGTGCTTCCAGAATATCAATTGTGTGTCCTGGCGATATTCGACAAGAGTTTCGTTTTTATACATTTTTTACTGTACTTTCGGAATATCATATTATGTTTTCATTACTTCCTCTTTTTAAGAAAACTACTTGTACACCCGTGTAGCGTCGCCCCCATTGCAGATACTCAAGTAAACTGAACTAATTGGTACTGGTTCTCTATAACACTGTACCTGAATTCAGTAAAATTGTATGAAATCGTTTTATTTTTGAGAAGGTATAAACTAATTAATTTTCTGATTACTAGGGCTTCACACGAGAGCGAGATTTTTTTCGTTCTCGTCTCTGAAAAGCGAGACCAGACGAGACTGACTATTGAAAGGGTTCCTTTGGCTTGAAATTTTCTACCTGGAAGATCCTCTTATTTACTAGACATGCAGTAAACTTTTCTTATATACGACTCGTATTTTATCAACACCTATATAAAACAATCAAATATGAAGAGTTTCCACTATAATTACCCATGTATTTGGTCTGATAACGGGACGAGACCAAGACTTGAACGAGACTTAATTTTTTGAGAATTGACGAGACCGAGACGAGATTTCCGATACTCTCACTTACTCGTCTCGACTGAAGCCCTATTGAATATATCATTTAAAATCTTACATATTTAAAACGAAGAGCTTCCGGGCACAAATTTATCTGGATTTTCTCACGATCTCCCCTAATAAATGCCATTCCTTCTCTGAAACACCCTGTATGCATAAATGAACTAAACCATTTTTTATACTTTTTTCCTAATTGAAGTAACTAGGGTTTAATTTTACAATTTTCGCGTTACAATACTCGAAAATAATTGCGAAATTAGCCAAGGAAGCGGGGAAATTTCACCAATTAACTTTCCTGAGAAGACGGGAAATTAATTCAACCGTAAACGCTTTCCTTCTTCGATAAATTATTGCTAATTCGCTTAGACAAAAGGATTTGCCGCAAAGGTTTCCGAAAATTTATTGTTTCCAGATTTGGTTAACGATTTTTACATTTTCAACCCTTCTTCGTCGCCCTGGTTATTACCTGCGGCCAAATAATAATTCGCCTCCAAAATTTATAGGACGTAAATTAAACGGTTATTAAGACGTTTTCAGTTATAACGTCAGCCCTTTTTCGAAGCAAACGAGGCCCTTCCTGTCTCCTTCCTTCCGTTTCCAACCGAGAAGTTTTCCATGCCGTGGCGTACTAAGTCGAGGGAAAACAATTTGTACGGATTCAGATTTTATTTGCTGTTTAGTAAGATTAAAGCGAATGCCCCGTTTTTGTCAGTAATTATCCTTTCAACGTTAATTATTACTGCGGAAAATGGAGAAACAAACGAAATTTAAACTCAAAACATTCCTTTTCATTAAAACATCAGAATTTGTCATCAAAAATCGGAAAGGAAATAATTCAAATAAGAATGAAATCAATATTTCTCTTCATTTCAACAAAAACAACAAGCTTACATACAATTTAAACATCTTTTCGAAATGAGTTAGTTTAATATGAAGTATTATTCAGTATATAGTCACTATAGTACAACGGATCGTTAACCTTGTAGGTCGGTTGGTCGTGATTGCTGTTGTCACCTCTCGTAGTTTAGTGGTCAGAACGTTGGTGCGTAAAGCGAAAGGTCCCGGGTTCGATTCCCGGCGGGGGTGTGACAACAGCAACAATTTTTCCCTCATTAATTTGAGGTAGCGTGTAGTGGGTAAAAAATTCAAAAATGAATTTTCAGAATAATAATTCATAAAAGACAACAAGATTACCCAACTGGACGGTTTAAAGGACATGCTTCATATAGGGCATGGGCTCCATGTGGTAAATGCTGATAAAAGGATTTCTCCACAAATTCCTTATGAAAACCTTAACAAAAAAAATCAGCGGCACTGAAGTGAGGTACGCCTTATGAGTTTTTCATAAGGATTTTATAATGCCTACATGGTATATTTTTCAAGGAAGTGAGTCGTGCCACAATTTAAGAACAGAAAATTAAGAGAACCGAGTAACATGAACAACGAAATACAATTTGCAATTAAAAGCAACCACCAATAACAAAAGTTAGAAAGGATAAGTTATTATTATTAATATGTGCAGTAAAACAGAGTGAATGTGTGGATGTAATGTGAGAGATATAATCATTTCGTTTGCTTTTGTACAATTCATAAACAACATCATTGCTATTTTACGAACAAACTAATTAACCATTTATAGTCTAATTCTAATATGGTAAGTTTAATTCTTTTCTGAAGGTTTTCAGAACACATGTAATTACGGCATGGACTGCCACTGCAAGAATGATTTATATATTTATACATATCTTTTATTGCTATCAAAAAAAAATAACAGTGAGTAGAGAATGTGCTAAGTTTTGGAGAATTAATCTTTCCGAGAACGTTTCTTTTTAAATCGCGATTTTGTTTAATTATCGCCTGGAGTACCCGCCAACTGTCGTTACCGAACTCCCTTTTTAATGCCCGAAAACGCGGATACAAGTGACGGATTTGCATTTGCGAAAACTTTGCCCAAAGTTCGACGACTTTCTATCGGATTTCTTTTGACCGAACGAGCGCCATGTTCGATCGTGAATTTGAATAATGCTAACGCTAAGACGTGAAACTCTTCTTACTAAAACGGCATCGTTTGGAAAACAAAACGTCTAAAAATTAAATAAAATCAAACTTGACTTAAAGTAGAAAGAATCTCAACTATCTCGTATTGGGAACTAACTTCCAGGCATGACTCAAAAAAACACGTTGGAAATAGCTTACAATTATATGCACATGTATGCGGTAATAGTGTCGATAAATGAAATGTTACTAAATTAGTGAAACGGTGAAATATTTTATTAGGATAAATCGAAACAATAAACAGGGTGCAAGGGGAATTTAATTAAATGTGGAATAAATGATGAAAAATGTAATGGCAATGTGACAGCTTTTGCCGCGCTTTATAATATTTAAACGTCACATACTATGAAAGAAAAATCTCATGAGATACCTAAATTCAATAATGTCATAAAGTTCAATTATCTTCTTGTTTGTATAAAGCAGGATCGGGATAAAAATGTAAACATACATCAGCAACATCATAAAGTTGTTGTTGCTGATACAGTTCCGGTTTTGGTGCATGATAAGTCTTGATCTTGCTCATTAAATCTGTTCCTTATAATAAGGTCGTCAGTTCTAAGACTGGTTGGACACGCACCTCCACTCTTTCCTATCCTCAGCTAATCTTCGCGTTTCCCTAAAACTAAAACATCGCACATCTAATCTAGGTCTACCTCTGCTCCTCTTAACTCATGTTTCTGCCTCTAACATGCCTCTGACTAGACCTTCATGCCTGAGAAGGTGTCCTACTAACTTATGTCGCCATTTTTTTTTTACTGCCATGTAGTCCTCTGTCACATACGTTTTTTATTTCAATAATTTTAAGCACAATTTTTCTATATACCAGCAGAATAATTGTCCTAAATGCTGAAATTTTCTGTCATACATGTGAGCTAGTCGTGACTTTTAAAGAAAATACTTTCGATCGTTGTCTTATAAAAACTCGAGAACTTACCCTTTCTCCAATGCATTAATTGACCCTTCGTTCAGTT